CTTCAGGGCAAGGCAAACATAAACTGCATGGATGCTCAACAGCAAGGATAGGTACATAAGTAGTAAGATTATCTCCAACTACCCACAGAGCGATGCCTTAATTTTAGAAAGTGCTTCGGGCTTGGGGTCTATCAAACAGTTTCTAGAAACTATGTAAATGTGAGGTATGCAGGTTTCGATGCGATGCTTCACAGAGGGTGAAACTATATCCCTCCGATGGACTAACATCGCTATACCTAGAGTATAATTGGTATGTATCACTCTTAGCAACAGTAACTACCTTCGCCTCGGTGTCTTGATAATAGCCTTAAGCTACCCCGTATACGTATCAAGTTCCCCAGTTAGGAAGGTCACAGAATCTCAATAGCCCCTAAGCACGAAGAATTACAAAGAACAGAGTATAGACTAAACCATGCTATTTGAATATATTCCCCTGATCTCGGTTAATTGATTACACAGAATCCATATGGTTCATCAAGATGCCCTCCATGACAACTGAACTGTTATCCCATGTATTATACATAGAGTGGACCACATCTGAACATAATTGTTACAAGTATTCAGGAGCCTGATTTTACAATTAGCTTGTACGGAGTACTCCGTACAAAGGAGTAAAACCCCGGTACCTTTGGCGTTCTGCATCGGGCAGGTGGATAAAATGTGGCTTGGATTGTTTGAAATCCGCCGAGGCCGATGCATCCGTGCTAAATGAGGATTTCACAATTGTAAAAGATTATTTCAAGTTTTGATTAATTATTTTGTTCACGTCATGACTTTTTCGGGGGGTTTTTTGGTTAGATCTTGATCGAGCCCTCTATTATTGTATACGCTATTGTGGACTAAAGTCGACAGATCATGTATTGCTACAATATAAAATATACAAAATACATTGTAGGGCTACTATCTGATGTCGCTATGACCCGTCCTAATGTTGTTAGTCGCGTGAGAGAATCAAATTGTTTCATGGTTTTGGGGGGGCTGGCCTAGTTTGTGGCTTGCTCGGGATCTTCTGCCTAACATCCCTTCCATGTGGCAATGGATTGAACTAGCGGTCTATTCCTTAGACCAATTTCGGGGGAAAGTGATACATCATATTATTTAAGTCCAGATATGAGTCGTCCCAAGGATCTGCATAAACCTACCATCGGGATTTAGTTGTAGATCCTCGTGTCTACTATATGTTGTAGTTATGCTGCAACATATCGGCACATGTATATACATATATGACGACATGAGTACGGCTTCCTACATAGATCATAACGAACATCAAAGGTGGCATATCCTTTCCAAAATCAACACGGGGACAATCCGGACCGTGTCGTGATAACGTTCATACTTCAGAGCGAAGAACTAGCTGTACATATCTCCTATCAAACATTATAGAATAACCCTTGACTATGCGTCGGGGCTAAGATTATGGAGGAGTAAACGCCCCGATTTATACTGATGCGACCGTGTTACACTAACACAAACAACAAAATAAAAGGCATCGGGTTGCCTACAAGACCGGAGCTACAGAAAGGAGAAAGTTGGTGTTTTACCCTTTGACACCCTTTGGCACCCTTCGGTCCGTCTGGCAACCACTCACATGATAGGCCCCTCCTGTCATCCCATCCTGATCAAGGCAATAGTCCAAACGCAGAGGTTTCGACAGGGGTCTCTCGGAGCCGAGACTGATATGACAAGTTTATGTACGGAGTACTCCATAGGGAATACAACATACAGGGTAGCACAATTCAGTCAGAATAAGGGGAACACTTGCATATGTCCATGTGGATGAGCGAGAGACTCCTACCGAATACAGATCATTAGCTCTACAATATATTTAATTTGAACTTGTGCACACATTTCATCATTTTATTATGAAGGATACTCCCGGAGTTATTTTTAACCTTATAAACATGGAGTGCAATATAGTATGTACATATGGAGTAACGGCCAAGAACAAGCTTGCGGAATGCTAATGGAATTTTTGCAATATAGTGAATCCTTCTAGAATATCAAAGCGCCGAATCATAGCAATACGTGTGATCTTCGGGGGAGGGGGGCTGGGGATTGCCACACTCGCTCGAGCATCGGGGTCGGATAAGGCAACTATATAACAAGTGCTTGAGGAGTACGGAATACTCCCTACGAATACTTTCAAAATCGCCTTTCCTCGACCACTCCATTAGAGTCTATCATCATTATTATATTGATTATGTAGATCTTTGCCCAGTAACTGCTCACACTGAGCCGTGAGGATTCCCAACCCCTGCAACACACGGCGTGGTGCGGATTCGAAGATTATATTGATTATGTAGATCTTTGCCCAGTAACTGCTCACACTGAGCCGTGAGGATTCCCAACCCCTGCAACACACGGCGTGGTGCGGATTCGAAGATTATATTGATTATGTAGATCTTTGCCCAGTAACTGCTCACACTGAGCCGTGAGGATTCCCAACCCCTGCAACACACGGCGTGGTGCGGATTCGAAGATTATATTGATTATGTAGATCTTTGCCCAGTAACTGCTCACACTGAGCCGTGAGGATTCCCAACCCCTGCAACACACGGCGTGGTGCGGATTCGAAGATTATATTGATTATGTAGATCTTTGCCCAGTAACTGCTCACACTGAGCCGTGAGGATTCCCAACCCCTGCAACACACGGCGTGGTGCGGATTCGAAGATTTGACAAAGCTTGGACCGAGTGTATGACAAGGTACGGACTAAGTGAAACATAAGAAATAAAAAATCCAGGAGTGCATCACTTATGCAGACGCTCTCCGGCGCCACAAGGTAATCTGCAGTACTGAGTTGAAGCATGCCATACATAGACTTGCATTATCACCTGGGATATCATGTATAATACAAGTTTTGTTTGTCATTTTAGTTATGGACAAAGGGACTGAGGGGATTTTTGAGTCAGGCGGATCGTCTATTCAGAGCTGATGGAGTAGTTTCTCTCATGGTCCGACTTCCCGGTACTAAATGCCAAAGGAGATCCGTAATTGAATATAAATACTCCGAATGGAGGAGTTCAAGCAAATATGAAGGATCTGTTTCGGAATATAACACGCATATGCTCCATACACACTACAACAAAAAAAACCCCCGTGTTGGAGTCTACCGATGCACATCAAAAGAAGCCGTTAGACCTAGCCTAGTCTAAAATTCGTCGCTAGTCTGGTACTATGTAATACTAAATCTGCAGGCCCTAAAATGTAGTACTTTTTCTCAAATTTGGTTGCTTGGTCTGTTCAGGTTTGAGTATTTGGAATAATTCACTATATGAGACTACATTTGATAGGGCGGTAGCTTGTTCGGTGGGGAGCGTGTGGGGGAGGTTGATTTACTCTGTACAAAGTATGATATTAGATTGATATGGACAGGGGAGTCGGGGGAATAATTCGGAGCACCAAGGAATGGCCCACGGACTAAGGAGTAATCGACTGAGTTGACGTGGCTTCCAATACATGCCTAGGGGCACGTTGTATTCCGTATATCGTACTCCGTACTCCGTACTTTCGGCATTCTTAACACCATTCTCCACAATCGAAGAAAAGGAAAACTAAAAAAGTGCGTAATTTGTCCACTAAAATAGCCAAATAAGGAGATCAGCCGAGTTCCAGCAATAATAGTCATGGATCCAGTGAAAAAGAAGATTTGCATACCAAAATTTATCATCGAACTGAGCGCACTTTGGATAACCAACTGGCAGTTGGCAACTCCTGCCAGAAACCGGCTAGACGCTTATTAGAGAGACTGATGATTGGCTTAGTGGAGTCGGCCAAGCCAGGCCGTGAGAGGGGATCGCTGGTTCGATGGGGTCTGGCTTGATAGTCGAAGCGAATCACTTTGTCTGACGATTGACAATCGATGTCTAAATCGGGAAATTCTGGTCGGAAGGCTCGAAGTTCCAAGCTCGTTTGTTTTCCATTTTTGGTGTTCTTTGGGGGGCTAGGCCTGTAATGAGAATACGCGGTATTGAGGTGTGTCAGTGTAAATTCAATATTATTCATAATGTAGTAATATTGATGGAACTGTTCAAACTGGCATGATCTTCTAAAACAGTATATTCATCTATCGAAGTATAGAATATAAGCATAGGACATTATGGAGACCAGGGAAAATAAAGAGACTCCGATCCGTTGGACTGGGTTGCGGCCGGAACCTTGGAACCCAAGGATATTGACGCCGGGTAACGTGGAGGTTCCATGGAAAATAAATACCATGGCTTACAGCAAAAAGCAATTATTCACGCAGGACGGAGTACAAATTGATATGTACTATCTTAGTCTGAGTTGCATAATGTTCCATATTCCATATTTGAGAGTTGAGAGTTGAGAATTGAGAATTGGTATTTATTGTATCTCTACTGTTATATTATTCAAAGCCCTAAAACACATGTACGGTACGGAGGAGAAGATCATCAATTTGCCCTTTGATACTCCGTACTCCGTAGATTAATGTAATATATGCATATGGCATGCCAGGTGTATAGTATGTGCATATTTTAATAGAACTTAGAAAGAAACTTTGTCAGAAACAAGGAAACCATACGGTCCTACGGGGGCCACGGAAGACCCAACAGGTACTTTTGTGCCTACCACAATTTACCCATCGGGAGGCGTACCCAGGGCTCGGGTCTGCTAGTGTCACCAATTCCCACTCTGCCCCCTCTCCTCTTCTTTACTTTCCCCATCTCGATTTGGACTTAGGGTTCATTCTTCTGAATCCATCGGGGATTGATTTTTGTTCTTTTCCTATATGTGTTGGGGGTTATCGATTTGACTACGATCTAAGTCTTTCCAGCGGCTTATGTGAGGCCATGAACCGGGGGAGTAGAAGGCCATATCCCACCAACATACAACACAGCACAACTCCTCCAAGGCCCCGTTACGTTGCTCTCCGTGGCAGAATTGAAATAGGACGAACTTTCCGGGCACGCGATCGACCTTTGCTAATACTGCGACCGGCAAAATATTTGGGGAATAATAACATCAATCCGCGAAAATGGCAAACAGACCACCCATCATGCCGCCTCATAATGAGACTGAGCACTCAGTCAGCCGGATCACCCGTGAAGGCAAACAGCTCACATACAAATTGAGCGTGATGCAACAGCCAGAGCGGGCGAGAGCATGCGGCGCGGGAGCCAAGTGTGAGTACTTGCTGTTGAACCTAATCAGGGCTGCGCGTTGACTGATTGTCGCAAATAGCATCTGCTGATCGTCGCCCTGTTGACCCACCGCCTGTGGTTGAGCTACGTATCTTCGAGTCCGATCCGGCTAACGATGCGCAAAAGACCGATATCACCTTCGCCTACAATGCCAATTTCTTCCTTTACGCAACCCTCGACACCGCACGCCCTATTGCCCACGGGCGGGTGGGTGGACCACAGTCGTGCCCTGTATTAACTGGTGTGCCAGTCGCCGGTGTCGCATATCTCGACCGTCCCTCACAAGCAGGCTATTTTATCTTCCCGGATCTCTCAGTGCGTCATGAGGGCCGGTACCGCTTGAACTTCCACCTGTACGAAGAGATTAAGGAGGCCAAGGATGCCGACAAGGATTCTCCTTTACCTCTTCCCAACCAAATTCCTCTTTCTGCCACATCAAAGCCAGGCGTCCCGCAAGCATTCCTTCATTTTCGTCTCGAGGTCAAGTCGGTACCTTTCACCGTTTATAGCGCTAAGAAGTTCCCTGGCCTAGCGACCAGCACCTCTCTGAGTCGGATCATTGCCGAGCAGGGTTGCCGTGTTCGCATTCGTCGTGATGTTCGCATGAGACGTCGGGGCGACAAGCGAGATACGGACTACGAATTCGGCGAGGAACGCGCAGCTGCGTATGCAGCAGGATCGTCGGATCGTTTCACGACACCTGACAGATACGCAGCTTCGATGGATCGCCCAAGGTCAAACAGCAATGGCAGCAATGTGGAATCGCCCTATGGGTTTGTTCCTCCAGATCGACGACCATCTGCACCCGACTATGGCTTCCAGTGCCCACAACCCTACCAAAGACCCATGCCACCTGCACCCCTGCCACACTCCTCCCAAACACCCTCATATCAATCACACCTTTCATTTGGTTCCACACCTTCGCATTATCCGGCTCCTCACATGCCTCCTACACCACCCCCGCCGGCTGTATCGCAAGGTATCTACTCCCCACAGCATGCATATGCCCAAATACGACACCCATCCAACGGCTCTGAATACGAAGGAACACCGATTTCGTATCCCGTGGCGCCTCAAATACCCCCCGAACGGGGTGGTTACCCTAAGTCTATGAATGCCTATGGCATGGAGCCACCAAAACCAAACTCATACATGGATCCCCGCATGGCTGAACCAGGTTTATACCAATCCATACCCCATGTTCCAGTATCACGTTCTCAAACACCGAACTTGGTACAGGCCACCCCGCCTTACAAGCCCCTGTCAAATGAATATGCCAACCATATAGTTCCTTCTGTGGAAAGCACGTCACCCGGTGGTGGTGGTGGATACGACAACGTTAGAGGGAAGCGTATGGTGTACCAAACTGGGCCAGGATACGGCAAAAGGAGTCATGAAGATACTTTCGGCCTTGATGACCGGTCAATGCAGAACGGCATGCGACCTGATACTGATCCTTATCCTGCTTATCGCGATTTCTCAGGAGAAAGTCGCGCTGCACTTATGGCTGAAATGGGCATTGAGTTAGCATACAAGCGTGCCAATGGCAAAATGGTCATGAAAGTTCCTCCGTCGAGTTAATAGAATCTGAATTGGCCTCAAATATCTCGCCACAATGGCGCAAAATACACTCTCCTTAGGGTTGCCTCTATGACCGAGACTTTAACCGGTCAATTGACTGGATTCTAGTGATGGTCCCTGGTTGAATCCTTTTTTGTACATAATTTATCTTCCGCTTCTTCATTGAGGCTACTCCAGCCCTAGATACCTCGATGCATTTGGACTCTTCTTTTGAGGAACTGGTTTCTTCTTTCGTGTTCCACTCTTTTGCGAGGAATTTCTTTGGTCAAATCTTGGAGTTATTGGGGGTTGGTAGTTTGCTATTCTTACTCCCAACCTCAATGTCATTTATGTCTGGCACATCCATTTCTCAAACCTGTATCATTCTCGCATCACCTCACAGTCTATCATCAAGAGCAAAGTGCATTGTCCCCTTCATCCTATGGGATTGGAATAGGGAATGTCACCCCTATCTCAACACTCGCTCGGATGTTCTTCAGCATTGCTCTTGGAGCATACACTTCATAAGGGCTGGTCTCATTAACGTTGTGATACTGAGTTCCTTGCTTCACACCGAACCCCTGCTGCTTAATCTACTTTATACCGGCGTTGTGGCATCTCCTTGATACCTGGCATTTGTCTTTTTACCTGACCAAATGTAAGATTTACGCTAATTTTATCATTAGAATGCATGTTCCCGTATTTCAGTACCCAAGGGTTATAAACCTATACATATCTCCAAGTTAGACATATCATATATCTACATTCCTTATCAAATATATGCACACATCTGAGACACGCAGAATTCTACATGAGAGTTCAGATTTTATAGCGATATACACATATTTGTATATGTTCAAATGTTTGTTTGGGGGATATGGGACATTCTGATGATGTAACTGGTACTTTGTCCACCGTAGAAGATTAGCGGGAGACGTGGGTACCAGGTACCACAACAAAGTTCCCCCCTTGGCAAGTGCGGAGTATGTAAACAAACCTGTGCGCATCACTCTCGAGTCTCCCGAGATTTTCTTTTCGATCCTCATTTCTTACCTTTAATTCTTCCCTCTCAGCACCCTCAGCACTAAATTTCTATGCCAAATTCTGACATACTTTTGTCTCTTTCCAAGGGCGAGGGGAAAAAAGCATAACCCAAGCTGCAAAGGTAAGGTCCCTTGCCATAATCCAATCCCCATGGAAGGGATCTCAAAGCCCGCATAAGAAAGATTGAATCTAACTTCCCTGCGTCGTGTCAGCGCCCGTGACTCCAAAATGGAAATGGAAATGGAAATGGACATCGACCTGAGCCCCGCACACCAGCGCTCCTCGCGCAAGCACCTACGATCTAGCGACGACGATAGCTGCGATTGGAGCTCAGACGTCTCTGGACAATTCGATGATGCCGAAGAGGCGCACGCAGACGACCACCGATCGCCACCCACGAAGCTGACCAAACGACGTCGCTCGAACGACTGGCCATTGCCCGAAGAAGCTGCTGATTACGGAGCCCATGATCGCCGCACCCATCGCAGTGAAAATGGAAGTCGCAACGTGAGTGGAAATGGCCCAGGCTACAAAGCCTCTCCCCGCGCTTCGCCTCGTGGGTCACTAGCTTCGCTGCGCGCCCGCCATGCCGCGGCATCTGCTTCCAGCCCCCGCCATCCCCGAGGACGAACATCACGATTCGTCGAAGCGACTATGAGTGATAGTGTGAGCGAGAAACCACCCAGCATCTACTTCCAGGAGCAGGAAAATAAGAACGTTGGCCTGCAGCACCGCTCATCTGGTATCTTTCGTTTTGGGAAGGCCATTGCCTCGGCGTTTAATCCCTTCGGTGGATGGGGGAGGAACTCTGAGGAATCGCCGAATAAGTCGCCGCAGAAGGATGTCATTCACCAGGCGGAGCAGGCATACGCGGAATTGAAAAAGGCCGGTTACAAGGGTACGAATAAGGGCCATTACACCGAGGATCTTGGTGTCAACACTGCCCTCGCCGACCAGACCTGGCGATCTATTCAGCAAAAGATGGAACATGGTTCTCCAGTAAAAGAACCGTATCGCCACCCAACTGATCAAGGAAACCGTGGTGCATCATTACGCTCTGAGTCTTCAGCTTCCAAACGCTCCTCTCTTCAGGATCTTCGCCTGCCGAAGTCATTCTTCAAATCCCACGGATCGCCACCTGCTTCCTCAGCGGTGTATTGCGATAGAACTTCGGATGAATATGAGCCGACTGGACTGCGTAAGCAGCCCTCCCGCAGGGAACTCTCGCGGCAGACCAAGCTGCTCAAAAAAGTAAGCAACCTCGAGGACAAGCTGCAACGTGCCCGGAGGGAGCTTCGTGACCTCACAGGTAACGAGGAGCGGATCCCAGCACCTATAGTCCAACCAAAGACTCTCAATACCGAGATGGATCCCGCATCGTTCCCAAGGAAGTTCGTCCCTGGAGCCCTTCCCACACTACCGTCGGAAAGGCTGCTGGATCAAAAGGCCGCAGAAAACGAGGCGTCTAGATCCGCAGCGGCCAATGTGACGGCCCTGCCATCAATGGATGACTGTGAATCTTTTTCATTTGATGAATCACAATTACCTCCAACCCCGGCTAATGCCCAAAGTCCAAAATGGCGCTCCAAAGGGACACAACCGTCGTCAATGGGTAAGGACCGCTCTTCCCGTAAACGGAAGTCTTCCATTCCTGAATCTATCGATAGTGGGAACCCTACTCAGCCCAGTCCGACGAAAGGCCTCCATAATCATGAACGGGACTCCGAACTCGAGGTTCTGATTGACTCCGGTCTCCTTAGCCCACCCGGAAAAGCGAAATGGCCGAAATCCGAAGCCGGCGAGAGCCCCGGCTCAGCCAAGCGCAAGCAGACCATCGACCACGCAGCTCCCCCGACCGAGCACGAAGAGAAGGAGGCAGGAGGAAGTTCAAGTGCTACGCGCAACATCAAAAGGTCCCCCTACGTTCAACCCCGAAAAGTCTCCGGAACCACCCGCTCACCAAGTTCCAAGCCCACAACCCCTCTCCGCATGAGAAAGAGCCAGACCAGTGTGCGCCCCGCATCTTCGCCTGCCGCTGCCTCTGACGACGATTCTCGCTCCAATATCTGGTCTACGCCTCTCCCTGCTCTACCAAATGACTCCCACCGCGAAGCCTTCTACCACCACCCACAGCGCCAGCTCAATCCTGATCGTAGCCCTCGCACCCCGACACGGTCGAAGACGTCTCCTAGTCGGAGGCGGTCTGGGTATCTCTGTGACGACGATATCCCGCCCGTACCGCCCCTCCCTGAAGAACTGCGCTCGAGTGCTGCCAAGGTCAAGGTCAATGTGAATAAGTCGCCTAAAAAGAGACCTGTGTCTGCCCCAGTGTCTGCGCCTGTGCTTTCTCCATCGTCGGCTTCTGGTCAGGAGTCTTTGATTTCGGGCCTAGAGGATTACCGGTGGCCTGAGGATATCTTCTGAGGGCTTTGGGTTCCGTTTATTATTATGAGGAATGATGCTTATGAGGTTTTTTATGCTGGGTAGTTCGTTTTTGGCATAGCTGTGCGTGGATATGTATTTCATTGGGTTTCTTTTTGGTTGACCGTTTGGTTTTTCACATTGTTGGTCATCGTGATGTAACGAAGTAATGAATTTTTATGTCTTGGTGCCTTGGGTTGGGAATCTTCTCATATAACATGTCTCTCAGCTCTCTCTTCCACCATAGAATCTCCGTCATGTACCATGAAGCTCTGAAGCCCGGGTTGAGGTATTACCCCCTCAATCCTGATGTAAGGCAGTATCCTTAGGCAAGATTAACCAGCTCACACCAGCAGCACCCAGCAAACCGACAAGCATGGGCTGCAGGACCTGGACACCAACCTGTGCCGCGATGATACCCGTCAAAGCGGGAAACACCGATCCGCCGATTTGACCGAGTACGAAGACAAATGCTATATGGATTGTTAGAATATAAATGTATGGAACCACATATTACAAGGCTGTTGGGTTCTCTTACCAATTGCCGAAGAGCGGATCTCTGGCGAGAAGATTTTTGAGCCGACCGATATACCCTAGGCTAGGGGTTAGAGTTGGGATTAGAAAAAAAAGAGTGGTGGACATTTACTGTTGCGAAGAAAGGACCAGAGAAGAATCCCAATAAACTGACTGCTACTGCCTCAGTGATGATATTCGGGACACTAGCAAACCAGATATTAGTAAAGATAGCACAAAATATGGGAGTAGGTTTATAGATCGGGTCGTGGAGATGGTGCCAAACTCACAGCCAGAATACCAACTGCAAACCCACACACAACAAAGCGTAAACGAAGATCATTCGGCGCTCACCGAGTCTATGCGTAGGCTCAGCAAGGATAAGACGTCCTAAAAAGGCGCCGCCGTAGAATCCAGCTGGGACATAACCCATTTCTTTGACGTCTCCGTTACGGACGTTGACAAGGTACTCGACCATCCAGCCTGATAGAAATGCAATCAGTTTCACAGAGCCTGTAGATCAACAAGAGAATACAAACCTCCAGCTGTGATACTAGCCCCAAGAAAGAAAAAGAAAAACAAACTCAGCAACCAAACTCCAGGAGTAGAAAGCGTATCCTTAATCTCCTTAAGCGCAGAATTCGAAGCAGTCATACCTCGTCTCTGCCCCCTCAAGACTGTCGGAGTAACCATCCGATCACGGAAAGAAACACCCACAAACACAAGGTTCATCACACCAACACCAAGCGGGAAAAGATAGAACAAATACCACTTCGAATCGACATTCGCCGACGCCACGCCCGTCGCTACGAACGGACCAACTAGACACCCGGCCATGTACATAGCATGGATAAAGCCGAGCCAGCGGTGCGCGCCGTTCAGCGCCGAGACGAAGGTGTTAGCGTGGGTGTCGTTGTAAGCTTGGCCCAGACTAGCGAGGAAGAATGTTACCGCATACAATGCGAATGGGGGTTCCCAGACTCGCAGTACTTGGGCTAGGATTTGGATGGCGGCGCCTAGGCTGAGGATTGGGCCTAGGTCTAGGTATTGGGTTATTTTGCCGTTTGTTAGGGCGGCGATTAGCCAGCCGAAGAAGGTTGTGCCATATCTGAGGGTGTTAGTTTTTATTGGTGTTGAATATTCTTGAAAATCTTACAGCACGGCTACCATGTTCGTCCCGATGTTGTAGGTGCGTAGCACGTAGGGAATGATCGATCCTAGACTTCCGTCGTTGACCCCCGCGACGAAAAAGGATAATCCTGCACTGAGGATTTTGATATACATCCATTTTGGCTCTGGGGGTCTTGAGTCATGGGATATATCATGCTCGGTTGGAATCGCTTCGGTGGAAGCTCTTGTCTGTAGTACGATTGTTTCTGTTTGGGTCTGGGTGCTCATGATGAAATGAAATATGAGAATCCGGTTCCTTGTGTAAGACCAGAATATGAAAGGGTCACAGGCTTTTAAAGCTAACAAGAAACGGCAATCCGGACCGAGTTTCCGTAGTCCAAATGGAAAGAAGTTCAATATCAGAATACGCGAGCGGCCAAAACGTGGAGAAATGCGGAGTTGGCGGTTCTTGGCCCGAGGTTTAGCCGGACAAAGTGGGAGATGGGAGTCTTATATTGGTCAACACAGAGGGAATTCAAGAGAATAGAGAAGCTGGAATGTCGTCTGATATTTGTTTTTTAAACATTATTTCCAGGGGGGTGTAGCGCTAGGTATATATTTAGACCACAAGCATAAGATGCAGATATTGTAAGCTATGACTGGTACTTTGTAGCATTGGGAAATGCACTTGATATAGATAATTATATCCTACAGCCCTGAAAGACTAGAGCTGCGATAGAGATAAAGCTATTTACCATAAACAGCCAGATAGCAAAACTGATTCGAAGCAGCATTGCATTAACAACCACCTGAATCACTTAATATGATACCCTCGATATATCACAAACCCCATCTAAAGAATAGCAGTGGCATTCGCATGGGAACCAACTCCCCCTAATAACCCGTTAGCATAACCCATACAACCAAAAAGCCCAAGAAAAATACATACCAGGCATATTGGCCGGAGCACTAGTCATAAAGAAAGACCACTTCCCCCTCTCCCGACACTTCTCAGCAAGCTTTTCCAAATCCCACATCTCACCAATAGGACAGCCCCACAGCGCCAACATGCTCTGATGCAAGTAATCCTGTTCAGGAACCGGCCACGACTCAAACGTCGGCGAGTCACCCGCCACAGCCGCAAAATAGCAATCATGCAGCCAGTCCCGGAGAGCCGGCTCGCGTGAGAGTCCCGCAAAATTCAGATCCTCGTGGGACCGGGTTGCAGCTGCATACCGCTGCTCAGAACTGAGCTCGTAGTATCGCTCCACGAAGCCGGAGCGGACGAGGAGAATGTCTCCGATGCGGATGTCGCCGCCTTCGGACTGTGGGCGTAGGTCTAGACCCTGGAAGGTCGCGCATGCTTGTAGCTCTGATAAAGTGATGCTGTGTGTCGTGTACGGGTCGTAGGGCTTGTTGTGGGTTTTGGCGTAGTGGTGGTAGTCTAGGAGGATTCCTCGACCGGCAATTCCGTGTGTTGCCCAGTGGTGGACGCTGCAGCGGTGGTTTGCGGCGTCGCCTACGAAGTCGCTGCCTTTGGCCTAGGTGTTGATAGATAAGTTTCTGGGGATGGATGGAAAGGGGAGGTTTGTGCATACCCCATTGTAGAAACATTGGCTGCCAATGTGGGCGAACTATGGACTTATTAGACCGGGGCTTCATTTGGGGTGAATAATAACTTACATGTCGGAATCCATCCCACTGCGTCCCGCTTTGCGTGTTCATATTGTAAGTATCATCATAACAAATGCCATCAATAAGCGTTTTGATATTATGCTGGAACACTTCGCGGTCAAAAGCCGGCTTCTCAGGCACTGTGAGAGGAAGACTTGCAATTGATACTTGTAAGCGTTCCATTCGGCATAATCTCATAGTCCACTATACTTACTCCAGTCGCACCATCTCGCCAGTTTCAATTTCAGCAGCAGATGCCTTGACTCGCTGCGGGGTTAAGAGGTTCAATCTGCCCACCTACACACCAGCCGGATTAGCCACATAAGAACAGAACATATTAGGAGTAAGTGACAGCATCACACCTCATCATCTTTGCCCCAGACCCAAGCGGCACCGTCGGGTGCACCAGGAAGCTTTGGAAGATCCTTTCGCGAAGGGAACTTGGTGTTGTTCGGATCCCAGGGTAATTGGTCGGCAACTTGGGTTGAAGAAGACATTTTATTTTCTGACAGAAATCTATCGTATTAAAATATATGGTCAAAATGACTGATATTGAGAACTCTAACTAACATAAATGACAAAACCCGCTATTTCAACAATCTGTGCGGACATCGATGACTAACTGTATTATGCACTTTTGTATGGTATGCTCGGTACCAGTTGTCACATGATTTTGTGGGTAAAATAACCTGTCTCCACCATATATTCGAACCTGGACTTTGACACACCCCCTAGTTCTTAAAGCTTGCATTTCCTAGCTTCAAGAACTGTCAATTCATCTCATCTCTTCAGGTTCAAACCTTCATTTCTTCACCAATCAGATGCCTGATCTCTCTTATGCCAATCAGCTCTCTGAAGAGGTGCTGCTTCTGCTTCGGAAGTGCCTTTGTAAGGCCATCTGCAGGCATTGCTGCAGTTGGAACCCAGTCTACATTGACTCGACCTTCACTAACTTCCTGTCTCATCCAGCAACGATTGATGTCGACATGCCTAAGCTTCGTATGCATCGCCGATCCTTCCTTCGTTAACAAATCGACGGTTTGCTGGTTGTCGCATATAATGGATAGTGGGTGATCTGGTTCGAAGCCTAATGTATTAAGGACTCGGCGCCACCATTGTACGGTTTTACCTGCCTCGGCAAGGGTAAGCAGTTCTGCCTCAGTGGTTGACGTGGTGACAGTCTTCTGCTTCGTTGCTTTCCAATTAATTGGACTTCCATAACGCTTACAGATATATCCCTCTGAACTTTTCCTATCTTTATGATCCCTAAACGATGTATCGCTTGCAAACTTAATTGACTTTGCAGCTAGCTGGAGACTGAGGTTGTTGTTCTGTTGTTCTCTGGTACCATATTCAATGGCCTAGTACCTGGTTTCGTACAGGTATTATATGACTCGGTTAATTGCATTAATATGCTTTGGACCGGGGTTTGTTAAGAACTCAGCTAGTTTAGCTGTAGCCTTTGTAGTATCAGGCTGGGTGATGGTAGTTGCGTACTGAGCAGATCCAACCTTGGCCTGGAAACCATGAATCTGACTCGGTGACGCCACTCTATCGTACGCTATTAGTTGCTTAGTAGCAAGTGGAGATCCTACTTTCCTAGTGGTAACCAAGTTGTATTTAGCTGCTATGCTTTTAATGTAGCTATCTTGATATAACTAAAGCTTCTTCTGTTCTCTGTCTCGGAGAATACGTATATTTAAGAA